CCCCGGGGCATTGTGGGAGTTGTAGTCTGTGAGGGTGAGGTGATGGGTTTGGAGGGTTGCCGCCATCGATTTTTCTTCACGATCTCAGCTCGGTGACCGGCCCAAAGGAGCGGGGATGGGAGAGAGGAAGTGTGGGTCAACCCCGAGGGGTCTAGCGATTGGTTTTGGGGGTTCAAAGCCTGTTCCCCGGCTCCCCACAGGGCTCTGGGGTCAGGGAGCTGAGCACAAGTGATGACGCCGCCTTCTCACCTCCGTCTCTCTTTTTCCTTGCAGGCTCCAGCTGAAGGCGAGGTAAAGGAGGAGGTAGGAGCTGCTTCTTTGGTACTGGTCCCCACTTCTCCAAGAACTTCTGTGGTGCTCCATAATTATGAGGCCCCTGCACCTTGTGCGGTGTCTGCAGCTCCCAGGGGTGGGTGCAGGCTCAGGTCCTGCGCCTGGGTTTGGGGTATCCAAGCCCAGCTCTTGGCCTGTCAACCTGTGCTGGGTGTCCCAGCTGAGGCTAGAAGCCATCGTGACCGTGCCCCCGTTAGCCTTACAGCAATGGCTCTGTGACAGAGCACAACTGCTCTGTGAATGGCACAACTGCTGGAAGGAGAGAAACTTTTATCACCACCACAGTAGGGTAAAAGGGCCGCGGCACAGAGTGAGAACTGTTGAACAAAGCTACACTTCTGGGAAGTCATCGCCATAGTGCCTGTAATTTCATAAATCCTGGAATTCTTATGGGGCTTCATGATGTAGTGCATGTGCTGTGTTATTGTGGGTTGCAGTTCTGAGAAAGCACTGCTTTATATACTCTGAATTTTAGTGACACATCTTTCTTTACGCAGCCAAAGAGAAGGTCGGCTAGACTATCTGCTGTAAGTATCTTTTAATATTACATCACATGGGATGCTAAGTTCTGGGGGGCAGTTATAGAGAACTATTCAGGTTTTTTCCACTGTCAGTGTGAAGGGAGTGGTTAGAGTATTGCAGTATTTAAAATTCCCATTCTATGTTTCCAGTCCGTGAGTATCAGGACACATTACAGGCTTACTTTTAGACATTTCACATGAGATACAACATCCATCCATGTTAGTTAACATTCAGTCTGGATGCATGAGTATCCAGCGTCAAGGAATATTGATTTCAAGATGCATTTGGTCACTGTAGGTCTTCTCCATACAAATACCTGTTCACAGCTCTATAAATTACCTGCTCTCTCCTTATAGTTGTAATTTGCCCATTGATTTTGTGGGCCCAACTGTTGGGTAAACAGAGACCTAGAGGGTGTAAGTCTGTGTCGCTCAGTAGGGTTCAGCCCAAAATCACAGCCTCAAACAGGCTCATGGAATCCTTTTCTACAGACTTATTGCACCCAGCCCTTTTCTAAGCCATCTTGGAAATGCCAAGTGGATAATGGTTGCTATTTAAAAGCAAAAGTACTTAATTTCAGTGAAAGCTGAGATGTGTATTCATACACAGAGTTATGTCCAAATGTTAATACCTTCCATTTTTGAGAGCTGCTTGCCTTCACAGCAGAGAGTAACACCCAGACATCGTAATTATCCACTTACTACTAGCTGTATCATCTGTACCATACCCACTGTAACTTACATGAGGAAATGCAGGTTTGGATAATGAAAGGTACTGATCTGTCTCTGACATTTACTCCTTTAGACTACAGAATGATGCAGACAGCTCAAAATTATTTTTTTGTTTGAATAGTTTTCAAAAGCTGCCAACATATTGCCAAAACATTTATAGCATTCATCTAACTCTGTTTCTTATGTTTTGTACAGAAACCTGCTCCTCCCAAACCAGAGCCAAAGCCCAAAAAGGCAGCACCTAAGGTAAGTGTTCGAGATCTCTTGAACTGAAGTTACACTGTCCTTTCTTAAGGCACATATGGGGGGAGGGAAAACATCCACAACTAGCCATTTTGGTTTTTCATAATTTTCTTTAGACATTTAAGATTGAATTATGTGAGTTAAAAGAACGTGAAAGATGTAAAGATAATTTTATCCAATTCCTAGGGAAGGAATGTGGTAATCTGATCAGGTTTTAAATCATTTGTGGTGAGGCTTTGCTGCTTGCCTTGCAAGACTGTTCTGAAGTTTCATATAATGCATTGTTGGGAAAATGATGCTTTGAATAGAGATCAGAGACTCCATTAGAGAAGGCGTTGAAAATTATGCTTTTAATTACAGTTTCTTTCTCTGTTTTCATTCAAAGGCACTCTTTTCAGTTAGTTATCACTTTATCAAATTTTAATCACTGGGGATAAAGTTCTACATACCATTTCCTTAAGCTGGATATTTTTGGAAATGTCAAAAATATTGGCATATCTGACAGTATAGTTAAAAAAGAAACTATTTAAAGCTCTTTTGTGCTTTGGAGCGACATTTTGAAATTTAAAAGGGGACAGTTCTGCAATCCATGAGGTATTTCTTTATACCCCCTTCCGGTCACAAACTTCCCCCGAGGTATCCATCTGTAAATATTCAGATTGTATTAGGATTTTACATCGGGAAAAAAAACCCCAAACCAAACAACAAAACCTTAGTGTTCATTTTAACTTGTTCCCATCATACATTTTCTACTGTGGTTCTGGATGGTCATATGGGCAAAGTGCAGGTGCGAGGGATGCTTTAGTTACCGAAGGGGCTGATGGGCTGGGAACCGGGAGCTCTTTTCTCTACATTGAAAAGGCCTTGCAGTTGCGTATGGCACAGCAAACTTCCAGATGATGAAAACTACTCTGCCTCCAAGTCTTGCTTTATGGAGCAGTAGAGATGTCACAAGAAATGGACCAGAAGGAGAACCCTGCTTGTCATTTTGGGGACCCTGCATCACAGCTCTGTCGTCTCACTGGTGCAGAGCAGATTTTCCACATCTGCGTCTTGGTCGTGCAGAGGGATTTCTAGATCCCATTCCAGACTGGGAGGGGAACCTGTGAACCCTGCTGCTCCACGTTCCTGTGGCACAAGTGGCTGGGACCCTGGATTGCATCTCCCTCTAGTGGCTGCCCCCCCGGGAAGGGGAGAGACAGCCGCTGGTGGTGGCTCTTCAGCCCAAGTGGCACAGAGCTGGCTGGGGGATCTGAAAGTCCTGGGTTCAGCCTCTGGTGATGACCCATGCAGAGGTCAGTGCAGTTGTATATGACGCACGTTAGTGATATTTTCTTTTTTTCAAGTTTGCCTTTTTTTTTTTTTTATGGAAACGTCTCAGGTTTTATACACAAAAGCTGCATTAACAGAATCTTAAAAGTTGTGAAAATAAGCACTCAAAAGTTAAGGACTGTCAAAACTTAGTTTGGTCACTTACTGCACAAGCTGTATGGTGCAGTCTCCCTCTGGGATCATGTACTGTTCAGTCCTGCTGGGAGCAGTGCCTTGGTCATCGCTTCTAAGGTGCCGGTTTGAAGCCAAGATACTTGAGTTGCATTTTTGGTTCTCTAGAACGCCTGTCTAATACTGGATCAATATCTCTGCAAAGAGGGATGCAGTAAGAATTGTGCAGGCATCTTTAATTTTGTTTCCCCCCAAAATGCTTAACTTTGCACCCATCAGGTTCTTTGCACAGTTTTTTGTGTGTGTTAGAAAAGACTTCACCTTTTAAATTTACCCTTATTGGAAAGCATAGAGCTGAGTCTGAGTTTAGCCTTAGCAAGTAGCTCAATTTTAATGTGAGTTAATTTTGTACACTAATAAGCGAGGTGTTGAAATAAGAAAGTATACTTTTTGTAACTCCTAGTCACTGAGACAACTCCGCCTTCTGAGATGCATATATTTTCAGTAATTATCTGTTTACCTGTGAGTAGTAATTTTGCAGATATTTACGGTTCCTTTGTTGGAACTAGGTTAATCAAGTGAGGAATAAGCGAGTTTGCTTAGTGCAGTTATTGGCAGCAAGAGGCAGATCCTCAGAAGCGACACTAATGAGAGTTGTGCTTGTTACTGTCTTGGGGTCGGGATCTGACCCTGCCATACAGAAAACTATTATTACAGAAGTTTTGCTTTCATTTAGCCTGATCCACATATAAGAAACTGCACTTTAATTAATAAATGCAAAGTTCTCGTTGTTGTTGAAGTGATGCTATTGAGCCCCAAACTTGTCTATCACACAGATGGTTTATTATAGTGAGGAATATTTCTGGGAGGGAAGGGGGAAAGTCCTTTGACTACAGCTTTGTTACAGTTTTCTAAATAGGCATTAATAGCACATCTGAAGTATTCTGGTATTTCCACTAGTTGTACATGTTCTTTTTGTTCTGTGGTATGCCTTTCAGCAGCACAGCAGAAATACAGGCCAGTTCAACTCCAGCATTTTTTAGCTAATTTAATTGAATGCCTATTTAAAATAGGAATTCCTTTAACCTCGGCCATGGCTGGTTTTATATTCTGCACTTCCCAGTAGCAAATTCAGGACAGAATAGAAGGAAAGCACTTCTCCGTAGAAACTTTCATCTCATCTTTGTCAATAGGAAGTTTGGTGCGTAGAAGCAGGTTGTGTAGAGACAGTTTCAGAGATGAGAATGTGCTTATGCAGATGTACAAGGTGGAAATCGGCATTTACCATATCGCGGTCTGTTTTCTTAACAGAAAGAAAAGGCAGCAAATGATAAAAAGGAGGACAAAAAGGCAGCAACAAAAGGGAAGAAAGGAGCCAAAGGCAAAGATGAAACTAAGCAAGAGGATGCTAAAGAAGAAAACCACTCTGAAAACGGAGATACCAAAACTAATGAGGTACTTTAGCTACAGTAAACATGGGAATAAACACAGATGTATTGGTAATACATCTGCAGGAACTAACGCTCGGGCCTCCTTGTCAGAAGCGGGTGTGTTTCACTGCCATCCTGTAAAGCCAGACCAGCTGCAGTATCTGCACAGGGCAGCTCCCAGGCAGAGCCTGACAGAATAGCATTGTGCTTCTTTTTCCTGCTATGTGCTAGAGCCCTTCCACAGGTGCTCTGTGCTGTCGTAGGGTCCCTCTCAGGGTTGGCACGAGAGCAATGCAGAATATTTGGGGAACAATAGAGCTCGGTAAGATTGCTGTCCAACCCTGAGCTGACTTTGCATATCCTCTCTGGACTGCTGGATTGCCTCTTCTGCTCAGCACAGGTTGGTACTGTGCCAGAAGTCTGGTTTTAAGTTTTACGCAATTCTTTAAAACAATTACTTGCCTCAGAACAATTCAACAAGAGATCTGCAAAATAAATTTGGTCTTGTCTCTCGATCTGCGAGCCTCTTTCTTACAGGTTCTTACTGTATCGGCTGCTTACCTAAGAGCTGCCGTCTGCTAGGACCAGCTACAAGCTCCACTCAGCTCCTGATGGCCTTTTCCTAACAGATTGCTTGCTGATAGCAGCAGCGCAGCGTTTGCTGTGGGCTCCCTTTGCCCCTGTAGGCTCAGACTAGCCTGTTGTGTTCTCTGTTGCTTTTGATTTACAGGGATCTCTCTTCATGTGTTGAGGATCATTATCCAGTTAATGGGCCGTTTATTCTTTCATTTTTAAAACTAATTCAGGAGCATGTTTGCTAAAATTAATATGGGATAATGTAATTCAAAGAATCTTTGACAGGAACTTTGCAATTTTGATACATTGACCTAAAAAGTAGTAGCAGACATTGTTACAGAAAACAGGTGAGAACCAATTTCCCTGAAGTTTGGAAAATAAACAAGTATTACGGTTTTGTGTGTAATTTGTACACTTCCCCGTGATGGACAAAGATGAGGACTTGAACTCTCTCTAGCATATGATCGATCCTAATCTAAAATATGTTCTAAACATTCCAAAATTAACTTGCTCGTCAATTTGTACTTGTCTGTGTTTTAATTTTTAGAATTACCAACTGACATGTTGTTGTGTTGATATTTTCTGTAGTAGCTGTGCATTCTTGTCCATCTACACAAAATGTTGTCCGTGTGTGTGCTAACAAACTAGTTTCTCTTTGATGCTTGTTAGAACAGAATCTGTTTAGCATTAAGAATAATATTTCTATTCTTCCCAAACACTTTTATAGGCACCAGCTGCTGAAGCATCTGATGATAAGGAAGCCAAGTCCGAGTAATGTTAACCCTGCCCTATATCTCCATCATTTGGTATCCGTACCTCCATGCTGTATTGTTAACAGAGAGGAATATTTTTATCAACTATTTTATAAATGCAGGTTTTTTTAGCATGAATTTAATTATGGAACATCTTCATCTCGGTTACTTGGGAATTAAATCCCTAACAAACAAAACAAAACAAAAAAAAAAATCATTGTTTTTAAATTTTGTGATTGTAATAGTTTGTATGGTACATGGAAAGAATAAGTGGTGGTAGCTTTTGACTTCTGTCAGTGTGTCCCTTTTTGTGTAAGTCATGCTTACAGACTTCAGATTTTAATTTTTCCCTTGTATGTGTTGTATGGTTTCTTAAAGTGGGGAGGTCTCAAAACAAATAACTGTGTTAAACATTCCAGTGGTTCTGTGGGTTGCTTTTATAAAGAAGGTGAGCTATTTTCATGAAAAACCTAAGAGCTGGAAATCTGTTGTTTCCCAAATGTAATTTTATTTTGTCAGTTTTGAAAAAAAAAATAAAATAAATAAAAGTGTAATCATGTTTTTAAATGAAATACAAACATTTCTTTTAAAAGGGCAGGTTGGTTGTATGTACCCACTGTTAGGAATTTTGCTGGATTTATCTTAATAAAAAAGACTCCTCAAAAGCTGATTGTGGTTTGTTGCTTGTGCTGCAAATGGACTGCTGGAGAGCCACCGAATTCCAGAAGGGATGCAGGAGTGCAGAGCTTCGGGCTGAGAGCACCGACGCAGCGCTTTCAGACCTTGTGAACTCTGGTACTTCAATAAAGGTGGGATGTCCGACACGCCTTAAGCATTATAGATGTTACTAAAAATTCTGGAGGGTATTGTCTGGTTTTATGTGCCTATTAATTGATTATGATTTAGAGGGGGGTTCTTGCCTCTTAGAATATTGCAGAAGCTTAGAGACTACCATGTTTGTGTAAAACCCTTAACAGTATAAAATAGTTTTCCGTTGGATATAGGAATGCTTGTAGTCCTGGTTAAAGTGCGTATTTCCATGACTGTTGTTTATAGTTTCCTCCTTTAAACAGGTATTACTCACAGAATGTTTTCTTGGACTCACTGAGCTTGTCCCAGCATGGTAACATGTGTGTACAGAAGCGCTTTCCATCAACGCAAGCTTCAGTATTCTGGGAGATGACAGCTAGACAACACGGTAGTTAAGTGGGGGTTAGTATTGGTTTTACCTAGCCTGATTTTTTTGTTGCTATGACTATTCTATGGAACCTTATCAAGGACACTTCAAATTCTCCTCTTAAAGTCTCTTCACATTGCTGCCCAAATACATTATATATTTAATGAGAAGAAAAATGTCTGCAATGCAGAAACCTTATCTTTTGCATTAAATTGTTTTGCAGCCCAGAAATGTAAAATTCCAAGAGCTTGCATATTTGATCTTGTATCCAAACTCCAGCTCAGCATCTCAACAGCCGTGTATTAAACGTGTGTCTCAGGAGCGGTACCCCAGGGCGCTGGCTGCTAGAGGATATTTAATGTGGATTTAATTTTCCAGGCCTAAAGCACTGGGGATTTTTATTCGTGCTGCACTTTTCTTTCTGTAGAACTGCTCTATAAACCGGGCATCAGGGTTAGCTGAGCTAGATCTTCCTCAGCAGTAAAGCAGAGGGAGTTTTTAGGGGCCTTTCCCTTTGCAGTGTATTCCCTTAATCCAGCGCTGCCTTGATACAGCGACTTCCAGGAGTACTCTGTGAAAACCGATGGAGAGAAGTATCTGGAACCTGTGGCGAGATGTGGGTGTGTTCCACACTGCTAGGATTTTTTTTGTGTATGTCGTGGACATCTATTCTTTCCGTGGGCTTTTGCCATGAATGTGATAACAGAATTGCAGGGCAGCTGGGCTGCGTTGCACGAGTTGACATTTTTGCCTCCTAGGATTGTTTTCTATGGGATGCTCAGGTTGGTGCCTGAAAAAATGGTGGTTAACTTAGAAAAAACAGGGAGGTTCTGAATGTCCCAGTTTGAAGAGGATCCAACAATAGTTCAAGTGTCATCCTGAGACTTTTACACATAAATATTTCCTGAATTTAGCCTGCTTTTGAATAATAAAAGATCACTAACAAGCACAGCAGTGTGCTTTGGACACATGGTGCAGTCATTCCTTGAATGCTGCTTGAAGTGGATGAGAAATACCAATGGGCCCCTGCTGCTTCAGGGAGAAAATGCATATTGGAATGGAAGGGTTTATGCTTGTGTATTCCTCCTGCCCTCAGTGGTTTCTCTAAAAGGGCTGAAAATCCAGCTCTGCCAGGAAGGTGAGCTCCTTCTCCAAATCTGGGGACCCCTGAACCATTTCTCTGTGGCTTGAGCCTCTCGTCACTGAGCGTTCCAAGCATTGTTATTTAAATCACAGCAGCCACTATAAATGTGGTTGATGTTTTCTTCTTAGCAAAGGGTTTCTCCGCGTGCCAAGGTATAATCAGCCCGTCATCCGCTAATTGAGGTCATTCTCTGTCGAGTCGTGTTTCTCCGTTCCAATACCGAGGCTGTTCCACAGAAACATACAATTGAGTGTTTGGTTTTGTTTAGTTCTTCCTCTGCAAGTGCCAGGGTGAGAGTTGTTCTTCGTTCTATAACTATTGTTCTAATCAGATTCCTGTTTCAAATAAGTACAGAAAATGGCTTCAGAACTTTTTCAGACAAACCTCCTTGCTCAAATTCAAAACGTTTCTGAGCAACGGGGTACTGAGGGAGTTGCACAACTAAATAGATCGGCTGCCTTCTGCCAAATCCTCAGCTCTTGGTCCCAACACTGAACCAAAGGCTGGCTCCACGTCAGCTCACGGGCTTGGCTTAGTTTATGGTTGACCAAAAAGTAGAGGTTTCGAAGGGAAGAAAAACTTCATAATACAACTCATGATGTAACTTTTGGTGCAGGCAGCTAGTGGGGCTGAGGTAACCAGGGTGTCTTTAAGAGAAAATATTGAGACTTCCCATTACTCGCAACAACGCATGTTCCTACAGGATCTTCAGCAGAACTTGGGAGAGCATTTGCTTATTGCTTTGTCAGAAAAACACTGCTCACTGCCCTGGAGGTTTGACATGAGAGGGAGTGCTGCCAAACTTCGTCCTGGTGTCCGTCACGAGCAACGGGCTGGAGCAGCACAGGCGGAGGAACGGGAGAGGAAAAGCCTGGCTGCCATCAGCAAGCAGAAAATGAAAATCAGAGTGAGTCCTGGTGATTTAAAAAAAAAAAAGAAAAAAAAAAAAGGAAATATGTGTTTAAAATGGGGGAAAGGAAAAAAAAACACCCAACCTGCCCAAACCACACCAAAGGAAGGCTTTTGTAGGTGCATCCTGCATCCACCTTTGCTCCTTTGAATGAAGGCAAAAGCCAGGAAATCCGAGGGGTCTGATTTTCAGATCAAGAGCAACTTCCCTGGTAGTTAATGGAGTTACACTGGTGTTAATCTGATGAAGCAGAAAGAAAATTGAATCCTCTGAATGGAAACGGATGGTTCTTCCTTCTAATTGTCCCAGTGGTGATGTTCCTTCCCCGTGCAGCTGGCGCGGGAGCCCCTGCTCTGAAACCTGATGCGCTGGACGGGCTCCAGAGAGCCCAGAACACCCCTCGGGCCCCGCCGCTGCCTGGCTTTCGAGGAGCCTCTCGCGTTTGGAGAGAACAATGTTGGCGTGGATCCTGGCCAGAGACCGGCCCCGTGCCCCAGAGAGGGGAGCCGGTCAGCGGCGAGCGTGGAGGTGGGTGACAGGGGTCCTTGGTGGCTCGTTTGGCCACAGGTGCTTCTGAAGGCGTGTGATTAGGATCGGACTTGGATAGATTTTTCAGCAAATTATTAAAATACATACAGACAACGTACCTAAAACATCCACGCAGAGATGAAGCTGAGATCTCGGTGAAAATGTGGGGAAAGTTTGACTGGCGTTTTTTCCAGACAAAAAAATAATAATTCTCACTTTTATTCTTAGGTATTATGTGTCCTTATGCAACAGTTTCTTTGTTTTTAGTAATTTTAATAATTAAAATTAACGATGATTTTAGTAATTCAGCACTGGAAAGGCAAAGGGCAAGCCCATCCGTGTTCCTGCTGCTTGCAACTGTTTCCAGAAGCAACATCACACAACGTTGTCCGTTGCTGCTTCATGGAGTTATTTTCAAGAATACCTGCTGGTGCCGTATTTGTCCATTATTCACAAGATATGTCAAGTAACATACGATGAATATTTCAGTAGCTTTTTATTTTTTATATTTCAGAAGTTTCCTGGAAAGTTCTCTTGACAAATTTTGTATCCTTTGTAGTATACTGTGCATATGCTAAGTGTACGTTTAGAAAAAGCTTAGAAATAAACCCACTTAAAAATAAAAAAAAAAGAAAAAGAGGGGATGGGGAGAAGACCCCTCATCTGCCCTGATTTTGGCCATTTCGGCCGATGCTGCTGGAAAAGGACAGCGAGGGGCCGGCGGGAGAGGATCCCGGAGGAATGGAACACTGCTTTTCCCGTGGTGCCGGCGAGGGAATTGCTCAGAAGGTGTCAAATGGAAACGGGTGAGTGATGTCCAAACGCACCAGCGCGAACCTCCGATCGACGGGACGCCTGAAAGCAGTGAAACGAGGTAGGTGCTTATGTGATAGAAAAGGAATAAAATTGGAAATTAGAAAGCTCTGTTCCCAAAAGGGTGGAAATCAAATTGACACCATCCAGCTCTCCAAGGCGTGGTAATACAATCAGACACATCTTAAACATTTCCAGACGGTCTTAAAAAAAAAAAAAAAAAAAAAAGGAGGGGAGGCGAAGCATAAATAACACTGGTAAAAATGCTGCATTGAAACCTAAAAATAGAGTGGTCAAGATTTAAAGCAGGTTCATCTCACTGGGAACAGGAGATCCAGTGCTCCCTGGGAGAGCCCAGCTCCGTTCCGCTCCCCAGCCGGGCTCCCGCAGCAGCGCGGAGGCTGAAATCCCTCCTGGGGCCGAAGCGAGGAGCGTGCAATGCAGAGGAGAGGGGCAGGAGCACTCCCAGGGGGAAATTTCCAAAGATTTGTCCCAAAGTGGAGATGCCTCCCAGCGCTGAGGCGTAAACCGCGAGGTGCGGTGCTTTCGTTGGGGATGGAAGCGAGCACAAGCCTGGAATTCGCCACTTGTAAGTTATCCGAGAGCTGAAATCCCGGAAAGTCGCCGGGGTTTTGTTTGTTTAACACGAACAATTCGGGGAGGGGGTGGAAGTACATTTCTCGGAGCTCAAACCAGATGTGAGCCATCTCAGGCACAAAGCTCTCTGCTTCTCCTCTGTTTGTTTTCCCCCCGCTAAGATAAAAGAATCTGCAGAGAAGGTTTAGACTGCGACAACTCTCGGATTTCATCCTGGCAGATGCTGCTCTGCAAGACCACAGATGATCTTTTTTGTTTCACTGAAACGGGGGCTGCTGTTCCCCCCGGCACACGGCGTGGGGTTAGAGGGAGGCTGTCACTTCCAGCTGGGCTGAAAGTTTGCTCAATTTGATTTTTTTCCATCCTATAACCATATCTCCCATCGCAGAGGTGCCGGCAGTAACTCCATCACCGTTTTGCAGGGTTCCATCGTCTCTGCGAAGGAGGGAGAGGCTGGAGCCACCTCCCCAAACCGGGACAGCCCAGCCCAAGGGAAAT